TCGCTTTTCTGAATATTCTTGAAGTTTCTTTCAACAATCATTATAGTTGAAGACATGTTCTTGATAGGCAGGCAGTATGTTCGGATATATAAAACTTCAATCTATATTTTTAGAGCAAATATATCTTTTATAGTAAATGTCACATATTTCAAATGTAATAAATTAAATAATTTATTCATTAATTTATTTAAAAAATATTGCTCGTTAGATGAAAGCTCGATAATTTGTAAAATGTATTCATAATAATATTAACTATTAAGGTCGACATATAGTCGAATTATTAAATTAATAATAAGTCTGAGTGAAAGGACTATGAAGTATGTATATAGACCCGTGTGATAATTATTATGTTTACCAGATTTATACATATGTAAAAATAAAAGGGTTTTTAAAATTTACTAAGAGTTAAGTTAAATATTTCTTTCATATTTACAGGATTTAAATAAATATACTAGCAATCATTAATATTGAATGACACAACTATCAGTGTTAGCTGGTGTTGGAGTTACCACGGAACTATCAGAATTGACCAGCACAACAAGCAGTACTACAGAATGTTTTAAGTTTTATCAGAGCTGTAAATCATTTCTTAACCGAAACAATTCTGAGTCAATACTGCAATTTTTTGGTGTTACTGACCTGAAGCACGAATTGAACCATTATTCTTATAACTGCTGCACCCAAGACTAAGACTAGATAAGCCTAAAAATATATCGATCTATGTATGCCCGTACACTGACACAATGGTGTTTTTGGTGATTCTAGTTTTTATACGCTGGTAAACACGATCTGTAGGCGTTTGAACAGTGTAGACCTAATTTAGCTGCATATCGTTCTATAGTCCAGTGACGTATAAGAGCCGTTCGTATTTTAGATACTCCCAACATGTTTCTGTAAATGAAGGCAAAGGTTCTATATTTGAAGTATATGAACCAAGTCGGTTTTGATCTGGTTATAGTGGTCCAATTCCTGTTAGATTGCTGATAAGTGATAAAAAAAATGTTTTAATCTTAAGTTTTGTTACTAGATCAATGGTCAAGAATCTGGTATTAAAACCCAATTGTTTAAAAAAATTGTTTTTAAATATTGTAGTATTTTATAATCAGCTTATATATTCAGAACAATTTCATTTTATAATATATAAACATACAGTATTTAACGCACTTCTGCAATTAACTCTCAAATTGTGCAGCAATTAGTGGAATTTTCCATACGAAACTGTTAAAGTAAATTGAATTGAAATGCCACAACTGGTCCTTAATTAATATCGATCAATGGAATACTGCATTGAAATATTCCATTTCAAATCCTCATAAGCAAGCATTTATAAAAATACTTATAGTTTGTGATGCAACTCGCATTAATTAAATAAATTTAAAAATAAATTAAATTAAGTAAATTTCCAATAAAAATATATCTAAAGTTTTTGGACACATGAATTAAAGAATTGAAATTAATACATATTAGTAAACACTGTTTAATTTTAAATTATGCATTTGTTAAATTTTTTAAAAGTTTTGGACTAATAATTTCTCGCTAGACGCGATCAAAGACGACTCACGTCTGTAATGGCCAACTAAGTAAGTAAGTAATTTCAAATTTTTGGTTTCATTAATTGGGTTACTTTAAACCCAATTATGTAGACATCGGTAGCACTACTCCGGTAATTGTGAAGTGTACATATAGTATAACTTTAGGGACTATAAAAATACAACGAGTGGAATAGTTTTAGGTTAAGTTAGGTTAGAGTGGCGAAGTTGTGACAACATGGAGCTGTGATGTAGCTAAGTAGCTTGATGATTGCTGAGGTGATAATATGACAAACGTGTAGACGGCAATTTTAAATTCTTTCTTGAGAAAGAAGCAGTAGAATATAACTAATAAAATAGCAAATTTATTCCCTTGATTACTGAAATGGGGTCCCAGCCTTTAACTGAAAACGGTCGATTTTGCATTCTGAAGAGGAGGTTTTAATGGATTGAAGTATGTCACTGTCTTTCGATACTTCCCACCTACCGAAAAAAAATCACCTAGCTTAAATTTTAGTTTAAATACTAATAGAAAAAAATGGAAAAGTTGCATTACAGTAACGCGTATAAAAACTTTAAATCTTATTATAATATATATATAAATCTTATATATTTATTACCATTTTTTTAATTAATGTTGGCTTAGTGTGTTTAACACACGGGTCTACGGTTCAAAATTGACAGTTGTTCTGTTAAATGATGTACGCTGTCTTTATGCGTTAATACACAAGTCCTGACACTTGCAGTCCAAATATTATATATGAACAATAAAAACCGTAGATGTTTTCAAAAGAACGCTGATTTTAAATATTTGGGAGTATCCGGAATAGTTGTATGGCAAGCCCAAGAATTAATTGGGTTGGCTATTGGTGTGACCACTTGAATAAAAAATTAAAAAAGTGAATAATGATAGTAATAATGAATAATATACGATAAAAGTTGCATCGATTTGGGAACATATAGAAATAAATTTGAATTGAGATTCGAAGTATTTTTATTCCACATCAAATTTTAACTTATCTATTAAATATCAAATAAAAAAACGAAGTTATCAAGAACATAACACATTTGCAATGATTATCTAGTGTTAAAGTTATGATGCGATTATTGTAATATGTAGTAACTAGTAAAATAAGACAATGGGTCAATAAGCCTAGGTGAATCCTCAGGATCGTCCGTATAACTTAACCTAACTAGTAAAATGGTTTTGTAACCAAAATTATTGTAAGAAATAATACATGTTTCTTCATAAGTCATTTTTTTGAATACACAAGGCTATATAAATAAATATTTATTTTTTTTCCTTTATATTAATATATAATTAATGAACCCATTAAATTTATTTTCTATATTTCTATACCCGATAGTACCTTTACCTTATTAACTTAAAAAAAAAAATTAATAAATAACACCCCTATCCACAACAAATTATCGAAGACGTCATTATACAGACGTCGCGACAAAAAAACGACTGCAGTTAAGTGCAGTTGCTGGTTCATTTGAAGCAACTAGCAAACCACCAACAACTAGCAGCAAAAATATGAACGAACGAATAAAATACTGACTTCAACATTTTATTTACACTACACTACTATCTTGTTTGCACTAAAAAGCGAGTAAACTAGAGCAAGAAGAGCATCATCTAAACCGAGCAATTACCAGGCAACCAGCAGTTATCGCATGGTACAGCATAATTCTATTAAAATGTTTAAATAAACATAAAAAAAACCAAAAAATTTTTCTCTCCTTTTCGTTTACATATTTTTCATTTTTACTTCTTTGACTTCATATTCTCAATTTAATAAACATATGAGGGGCATGCGCACTGATAGCCATGCATACATAAACGAACATACATACACACTTCCAATTTATACCAAACTTACTCTCAACTGATTGCATATGAGTTTTAAGTAATTTTTGTTTTGCTTTTCATTTCTTCTTGTAGAAATACATTTCATACATTTTATATGTTTCCCTTTCAAATTCAATTCTCCACTGCGCACACACATGCACACACACCCATACACACCATTCACAATAATTTCTCTCATGTTCTGTTTTGATACTAACAATTCCCTTCCACAGCATCCAATGCTGTGAAATCTTCGTGGTAGTTTTTTGTTGTTCTTGTGCAGTTCTGCTTCTTGAAAAAGACTCTATTTATCCAATAATCACAAAAACATATGATTCGCCTGCACAGTGGCGTTACTAGCAAAAAATAAAAATTTAAATGTTATCCAAATCGTTATCTTTATATATATCATATAATATACATAAATATATCTTTGTCAAGCAAAATAAATAAAAAGAAATAAATAATATATGTACATATATCTGTTTATGTGCCCATGTATGTGCGTACAAATAATCTATTATTTCAAAAAAAAAAATATATATATATATTATTTATATTTTTTGAAAATAAACTTTGTTGAAAAATTTTAAAAAAGGCACGTACAATTACATATTACAATTGATTCAATAGAAATTACCTTAAAATAGAAAAAACATAATATGAAATTTTTTTTCAAAATTGTAATTACGTGCTTTATTAAAAAATATATACATATATATCTGAAATAGTTTATACATCGTAATAAATTCAAGTTATAATTGCGTTGTCAACAACTAATTAAATTTAAATTTCCGAGATAACAAAAATATCGAGATTAATCCTAATCCTATGATATATATATGTATGTAGGTCACACATTAAAATTTTAAGTATATATGGACATATCATTGTTATTTATACCTGACAGATGGCAATAAAATAAGTGGAATAACAGATATAGAAATAAGCATATCTGCGCATTAGTACCGGGCACTCCAGAAGCACATGGTATGCAGTTTCTCTCTCTTCTCTACAGTATCTGCAATTTGAGTTGGATTGAATTCCTAAGTTGGATTGAATTCCGGTAGGTGATTATTCAATCTACAGTGACTGGTCTATAATCCCGTTAATATGTATGTAGAACATAAACAAATTGAAAGATACATATATTCCTTCCGCTAACATACATAATCTATTACTTATTAGTTTATTTTATTATTAATATATTTTATTGCTAGCATACCCGCCACTGTTTCGTATTATTTAAAATAAGCAACAACAACAATGCATTGATTTAGCAAATTTATATACAATTTTTTCTCCAACCCAAATGAACTTCAGCACAATGCTTGCATTTTACATTGCACGAATGGCGAATGGGTGTACGTACGTATATGTGTGCTTACGTATGCCCTGGCAGCTCAATGTCATCTGAAATGAAAATGTTGTTCTCTGTAGTCTTTTGTTTTGCTTTTTTGTTTCCATGCTTTTGTACATTTCTCCACGACGTTGTTGCTTTTGCTGTTGCTACTGCTGTTGCTGTGATGACGAAGTAGCAATGAATTATTTCTGGAAACGATTAAAGACGAGAGGAGACCGTCGTCGTCGTCGTTTTCGTCGTATTTCTTTTGATTTTGGTTATAGCAAGAGTAAACGAACAACAGTACAGACAGTCAGTGTAAAGCGTGTCTGTTGATAGCAACGTATGGGAATAAGCGTGTATTGAGACCGAAAAACAAAAAAACATAACGGTCGTTAAATGTGCTGTGATGTTTATAAATAAAAAAAATATTTTGTATTGATAAAAATTCTATTAATTAATATTGTTCAATTATTAAATTATAAATAAATAAAAAGGAAAAAGCTTTCAATTTGTGTTGTGTCCTTTTGACGTTTTTCTTTTTTTAATTTTTTGTTAAATTTTTGCTGCACAAAAATAAAAAATAAAAAAACAAACGAAGGTTATTCCTGTTTATTGTGTTTGGCGTATATGCTGTGTTGTTGCTGCTGCTGCTTCTTCTTCTTCTACTGATTGCAGCATTGTTATTGTTCTCGCGCAAAAATACCTTGCGGAGAGAAGCTGTGCTTAAAATATTTGTGTTATTGTTTAAAAATAAATACAGAATTAATATAAAAAAAAAAGAATTTTATTTTTATTTATTTATTTTTTTTTTTTTTGAAATAAATTACGCGCCAAAACTCACAAAAACAACTGTTTTAATCAGTGCTTCAAATGGGAGTAACTTTCCACTTCAGTACATTTCTCCTTACGTCCCTACTTTTAGACGTATAAAGAATTCGACGACCTCGACGCTGCTTTTAGGTAAGTTTTAACGCAAAACGCATTTAACATTCATTTATTTATTTCTCCCGCGGGCAACAAACTTAAGGACCAACATAACAACAACAACAACAATAATTACAACAACAACAACACTAACACAAAATCAAATGTCTAGACAGTTTTTATCACATCACACATTCAAGCTCATCCGTGCTTAATGCCTCTGCCTATCTACAACACATAATCCCACATCATTAACTGCTTATGGGTTCTTTACTTGATGACTGGCTGTACTGATGTTGCCGCCATAATCTCTGACCTAAAACTCAAATGTCATTTATCATAGTTTTTATATATACATATAAATATATATGTATATATGATGTATGTATGTATGTGTGTGACGGTGTGTGTTTAGAAGTTATACAAAGAAAAAAAAAAAATTATCATCGGAGTGTTATAATAATAATGTCCTTATACTCCTCTGCCGCTGTATTCAATATCAGCATGAAAACCGATATCTCCGACAGATTATCGATATGACTATATATTATCTATATTTATTTATCATGTTTAAAATTATTTATAACTTTTGGATTTAAATGGTCTAAGCGGACTCCCCGACTGCTACGAGTGCTTACACTAACCAGAGTGGGATTAAGTTTTTGCCGTTTTTGTTGGTTGTTGGATGCAACATAATTTTCATCATACAAAATAAAATTCTGTGTTAAGTTTTGTGACTTTGGTATCAGGCGCTGAGGACTTTCAAGCAGTGGGTATCCTTTTTGTAGTGCCGCAGTTGCAATGCAGCCAGCCTTACACAGTAGTTAAGCAACACTGGTTGGCGGGTTGGTACTTTGCACGCGTACGCGTTTTTTATTTATTGCTTAAGTGTTTGTGACATGTTGCCAGACCTCATGGTTGTGTGTGACAACTATTTCTCAATCATACAATATACATACATACATATATACACCATTTTCATTCTGTGACGTATAATAAAGTATTCTTTTAAAAATTTATTTCGCTATTAATTTGAAGCAATCATTTCTGTTTGTTGCTCATCCAAATTGATAGTCTCCATAGCGTGAAGACCCCCCACATTGTTAAATTATTAAGAATATGTGTTTCAATTGTGGAAATGTTATGTGTCATAATAGTGGAGAGTCATACAATGTTGGGGATAGGTTTTTCACGCACTATCGATAATAGTTCAAAGAAAATTTTTGACTTTAATAATGGTAGAGAGCCTTTCAATGGTGGGGAAAGGTTCTTCGCTAAATATTGGTAATAGTGAGAAGAAAATCGGTGACTTTAATAATGGTGGAGAGTCATTAAATGTTGGGTTTAGGTTCTTTAGTCACTACCGGTGATAGTTCGGAGAAAATTCTTGATTGTAATAATATGAAAAGCCATTTAAAGTTGTGAATAAGTACTTTAATCAGTATCACCATCGGTGAGAGTTCAAAGAAAATTGTTTAATGTAATAATAATGGAAAGTCATTCAAAGTTGTGGATAGATATATTACTTACTATCGGGAATAGATTGAAAATAATTGTTAATTATAAAAACAGTTGAAATCCATTTATTGTTAGAAATAGGTACTTCAAACACTATCGGTGATAGTTTAAAGGAAATTGTTGTATTTAAAAATAGTGGAAAGCTCGTCAATATTGTGGATAGCTTATGTATTCAGTATCGGTGATAGTTCAAAAAAATTTGTATATTATGATAATTGTGAAAAGCGCTTAAAACCTGTGGATAGATTCTCTACTCATTGTCGATGGTGATAGGCCAAAGGGAATTGTTGATTATACCATAATAATTATTATTGTAATAGTTGATAATAATAGTTGATAATAGTTGAAGCCCATTTATTGTTGAATATAGATATTTCAATTACTATCGATGATAGTTCCCGGAGAATTGTTGATAATTATTTGAAAATATAAGTAATATTTTTTTTTGTCTTTACAAATATTACGGCAACATAAGACCAAAGATGCCTCTTCACTATTATTGATAAATCCATAAAATTTTTTCAAAATAGCGTAATCTCGCCAGATATTATATGTAAAAATTTCATGACAATCTGAGAAGTTACATTTGTTGCTCTAACTTTTGTACTTTTGAGAGTAATAGCAAAAATTTGAATTTCGTGAATTAATAAAGTATTGCTTTTTGACAAAAACTATACTGTTTTAATCTAGTAATAGCTTGAAAAGTATTAAGGTGACTTTGCTTTGTCTCAATAAACTATTTGTTAGTGGTCTGTTGAGTTTAAACAAGAGGGTAGTGTCACCAATAAGATTAAATGCTTTGAACAAACCAATTCGATGGTGACTCTAGCTTAAAATGGATTATATCTAAGATATATACATTCATTAAAATAAAATAGTACTACAAATATGGAAAAAAAATGAGTATGACTAGTTGGAAATCTATTCAATTCGTAGAGTAATACACACTGTAAGTTACGCTCACGCTATAGTTCTGACTGCTTTCTCCGAGAATGTTTCTGCGATTTTTTGTCACGAAATTTTGCATTGTGAGTCAGTAAAGATTAGTAATCCACGACGACTGTTGACAATTCCAAGTCGAGTTTTTCCCTGAGCAGTATAGCCAACGGAATATATCGAAAAGGGTATATAGATTCTCTTTTAGTTTGACACAACAAAACCATTGTATATGTCAGTCAATGATATATTAGTTCCAGTTTGCATGAACATTGTTAGGATCTGTTTTAGACTAGGGTTTCAACCGAAGACTATGTTGTTTCGGTTTAATTAAAAGAAATTATATTGATTCATTATTTTTTAGTGTTCCGATATAACTAGCAGTTTTTCCGGTTTTTGATTCAGTTCTGATTACATATTTATAATATATTTTGATATAAACAAATTATTGTTTTTGTCATGATTAAAATCAATTTACTTGTTCCTTAATAAGCTAAAAAATTTAATCCATCTTCTTCTTCTTCTTCTTCTTGAGTTAGTGCTATTACGCACTTTTACTCTATAATGACTGGGGGGTTAATCACTACCCCACACTAGGCTTTAACTAGGCTAAAAAATCATATCATTTATTTGTCTTTTAGTTGATGACGGACCTTAAATCAGCATATCTTCCTGAGAGTCCAGAAGTGGACTTGAGGATTGTTATGGCGGGGTTAAGTAGCGTATCAACTTTAGTGAATAATTTTAAAGCTCTGTCTCTGATATATTTTTTCACTGAGTCAATCCTAAGATCTCTATGTATATCCGTAGATCTAATGTACCATGGAATCTTAAACAGTTTTCTTAAGGCCAGGTTTTGAGCTATCTGTAATTGCTTTAAGGTGGTATTTGAGGCTTTGCTATATGTAACACATCCGTACAGAAGTGCAGGTCTAATTACTTGCGTATAAAGTAACTTTCTGTTTTTAAAGTTGAAGTGATAATTATTAAATAGCGGCTTTAATAAATGTAGAATCTTAGAGCAGCTATTCCGTTTGTATTTCAAATTTTTAAGCCAATTGAACCGTTTGTCAAAAGTGACCCCCAGATATTTTATGTTATCCTCCCACCGTATCTCCGTGTCGCAAACGCTCACTCTTGGAGGATGCTGTCTTCTTTTTCGAGTTATAAATATAGCCTTGGTTTTGTCATTATTAATTTTAATCTTCCATTTTTGGAAGTATTCCACCATAAGGTCTATATTTCCCTGTAACGTGTTGCTTACATTTAAGGCATCCCGATCCGAGTAGATCAAGCATGTGTCGTCTGCGTAAAGCGCCAATAAAATCTGATTATGAAATTTTAACTGTCATTTATTATAATTATAACAACTGAAAAAACATTTATTGGTTTATTGAGGTAATAAAAAAATAATTGAGTAGCGATTAAATTTTTCAAAATCATTTTGAATTTTCGATACGAGTATGACTTTCTTTATTATGTTCTGAGTTAGTTGGTCAACTCGTCGCTTTTTGCACGAATGTAAGTCTGTTAAAGCCTCTGTTTTGGTTTAAGACCGATCTGGATTTAATAAATTCCATAACGTCCGATTTACGGTATGTCGATTGTTGATGCTAGTTCACCTTGTACGATTAAATTAATTTAGGGAGCATTGTCTTCTAGACATTTTTAATGATTATTGTTTTGCCTGACGATGCAGAATCTTGTTGAAACGTTCGTTATCTGTCACTATAATGTTTGATTGCTCGCGGCTGGAGAGTATCTTTTAAATCTTTTTTGTAATTGCCATCCGCATCGACCCTGACGACATAAACAAACAAAAGTAATAAAGAGTTTCTGTATGTTCACCCTGTTAACCCATTAAGTAAATTCAATTAATCTATTTCTACCACTTTTAATCAATAGATCTATCCCCCTGTAAAACGCCACTGCTTTGAAAGTTTGTGCTTTTCAAATTAAATATGGCATTATCACACGATTATATTCGAATTTTATCACAGAATTTTATCCCTTTCTAAAAAGGGACAAAAAACCCTATGTTACTAAAAGAAAAAAGTTTTTTCAATGATTCTGAAATGTTGTGTAAAAACGGACATAACTTGTATCCAACACTTCACTCAGTCAGTCAGCTGAGTTATCAACAACTTGAAAATCTCGTTCAGGCAGGATTATAGCGTCCGTACTTTGAAATGTGGGTGAAATACCGTTAGCAGTGTTTGCTACACAACACAACTGGTGCGTTTGAAGAATAATATCACGAAGGAACGGCCCGATATGTTGAAGAAGAAGAATTTTGGTTATCCTACGGACTTATATTATTTTTTTTATTCAAATAAACTTGCAATTAATTCACTTTCTGTATTAATAGCTATTATTCGATTGTCTTATCTTTGCAACTGTTTGTGTCTAAAGAATTTAGTATGACTGTTAGACATTTTTGAATTGATTCGATTTCAAAATAGAATGTCTGACTCTTAAAAATAATTAAACTGACAAATTAAATTAAACTCACAAATTAACAAATTATGACTTTGTAAATATAACCACCTATAAATAACGAAATCAGTTCTTAAACCGAAATT